ACCGTGACATCCTTATAAGGAAAACTCAAGGAAAACAAAATTCAACAAGGTTCAGAAAAAGGGCAACTGAAACCATCAAGGGAATGGAGCGTCTCTCCTGTGAAGAACGGTTGCAGCATTTGGAGAGCAAGAGGTGAAATGATAAAGGTTTATAAAATGATGCCTGGCATGAAGAAAGTGGATCTTGGGGCAAATAAACAAGGTGCTCATATCTTAATAAAACTGTCTTGGTGCCATCGTAAAATGGCTTCCATGGGCAGCAAAATAATTGTACATGTGAGTACCATAAAAAACTTGACTGGGTATGCATCTGTTAAGATATGGTCCACTTACAGTGTATTCAGAAGCTGGAAATAGTGTGATAGTTTCCCTGATTATAGTGCTATTGCTTCTGTCCCATTTACTGACATTGCTTCCTGCTGCAGGTATCTATTGTGTTATGGAACTGTGACCAATACACCAGCAAGTTGTGCTAAATTTCATTCGCACCACTGGGCATGGTGTGACACAATGGAAATGTCATTGGACAATGTTGCTACTATGACAAAGCCCCTTCTGGCAAACCAGAGCAGCACATGGAAATGCTGTTTACCTTCCTGCCGGAGCAGTACCTATTTATTTACTTGCACTGATGTGCTTTTGAACCACTAGGTGGGCAGGAGCTGGGACCGAACAACACCCCGTCACGGGGATTTGAACTGCTGACCTTCCGATCGGCAAGCCCTAGGCTGTGATTTGAGGTCAATTTGGGAGAGTCAAAATGGCTTCAGGATTGCTCTCCTGTACTATTTCAGACAAGTGGTTTATATATTCATGTATGTGTTTGCCTTATACATTTATTAACAGTTATTTTATATATATATATATATATATATAAGACCTTAGAATTCCAGCAACAGCTAGATTTCTGGAAGTGGCTTTTGCATCTCTGGAAGCTCAAATATATTGTGAAAATTAATGGCTGGAGAAATGGCAGGGAAGTAGAATGCAGTTCCGTGTGAATGCAGCCTCTCAGTACAGATTTCCATGAGGTTGCCTGAGGACAAAAGGCCTATACATGTGTATGCAGATTCAGCCCTCATGTACACACACCCCACCTTAAAATCCTGCTCATTTCAGGTGTGCAGCTCCAGGCAACCTACATGGGCTCTCCTACAGCCCAGCTGTCACTGGGTAGCAGCAGCACCCAAGAGAATTCTGTGTGCCTGCTTCCCTTCCTCGCACCTTCCCTCTCCAGGCCTGTTGCAGCCGTGCAGTCATTGAAGGGGGAAGTTTGATGTCCTGCGACAAAGCACATCCCTCCAGGGTGTGCAACCACCCTCGAAGAGAGGGGAAGGGAGGCAAGAGAGCAGTCTGTGTCTGAGCGAGGTGTCGGCGTGTGCACAATGAAGACAGCGACTCTCGGCTGGGGAGCAAGGAGGAGAGAAAAGAGAAAGCAGGAGAAAGCAGCATGGAGGGGGAATCGGTGCTTCTGAGCCATCCACCCTCCCAGGAACGTCCTGCTAAAGCATGGGTAGTAAGGGATCTTTTTTCTGCTCAAGGGCCACATTCCTACAATGACAGCATTCTGGGGGTCACATGCAATTTTGGGCAGGGGCAGAGGCAGAATCTCCAGGTACGGCTGGGAGAGAAGCCTGGTCTGAAACCTTGTAGAGCTCCTGCCACCCAGAGTTGACAATACTGAGCTTGATAAACTGGTCTGACTCAGTATAAGGCAGCTTCCGATGTTCCTCATGGCAGAGGACCTCTGGCCCACAGGCCAGTATTCCCCATTTGACCCAGGTCTTTTTCAGCCAAGGTATGCCCATCTGCCCTACACCTGATGTCATCTATCAGACATGGGACAGGTAGAGGGCAAAAGGGCAAATTCAGGCGCTTCTGCTCAGTTGCATGCAGCCACTTTTCAGGCAAATATGGGCCACCTGATGCCCATGTCCTATCAGCTGACTGCAGTGGTGTAGCGTGGGTTGCTAGCGACCAGAGCAAGGCAAGTACCTTTAGCGCTGCCCACTGATGGGCTGAAATGAATGTGCAATAGCTCGGTGACCTGCCTGACCGGCAGCTGCAGCGCCCTGTGACTGTCGGGTACGGCGGAGAGCAGAACGGGGAATTGATTGGGAGTAGGTATCTTTCTCAAGCCTGTACAACCGACTATCTCCCAAATCTGCTCCTTAGTCTGCCCACAGAAACACTGGGTGATTTTCTGTGTGAGGGGGAGGGCTGACAAATTGGCCTGAGGAAGAAACTGAGCTCTGGCCAGGTGTGTTGTACCTAATGGTAGGACCGGCCCTGGCCATCACATACATCAACGATATAGTCAACAACAGTGTTCGTCTAGGAGCTGAAACCTAGATTCAATATCACAAGAATGTGTGTATGGAGGAGCATTTTGCCCTGTCCAGACCACCGGCTCTTCAAAGGCTTCTGAGCTGCAGCAGCAGTTAGTTTCTAATCAGTGAGGTGCAGGGTGGCAGCCTAAATGGGTGGGCGTAACTCTCTGGGAGCCGTGCATTGAGATCATTTGGCCCGATAGGAGGATAATATATGCATGCTATCAACATCAATGATTAACCAGAGCCATAAAAGATCAAGGTGGCTGTGGCTATTGCATCTCACTAGCATCTAAAGCACTGCCAGGCACTGGAGTCATAGCTGTGCCTCCGGGCTACCTCTCCTCCTAAGCCTTTCTGGAGTGGAGAATGGTCCTGCAACCCATTAACTGGAAAGGTGTCAAACCTGTTTAGTCGGCTTTACTCCCTTGGCAATGGCAGAGGCGGAATATCCGTCAGGCTCCACCCAAAGCAAGTGCGCTGTTCTTAGGGGTAGATTTAAACAAGGTATTGAGTAAGCTGCCATAATCAGTTGGGAACCATTTTTCATCCCGAGGGCCACATTCCCTCCTTGGCAACCTTCTGGGGGCCACGTGCCAGCAGTGGTTGGGGCTAGTTGCAAGAGTGAGCAGGGCAATGAGTGGAAAGTTTGCACAGTGAGCTGCTTTCAAGAACATATTCCACGTGCAATATGTTTGGAGGAAGGGAAGCAGGGCCAGTGAAAGGTTTCACATGGGAAGAGTTTTGAAGGGCCAGATGGAGAGTTCTGGAGGGCCACATTTAGTGCCTGGGCCTGGGGTTCCTCTGTGTGTGTGTGTGTGTGTGTAGAGTCGTCTGTGTTTTCTACTTTTCAGGATAATTCTTATGCTTAAAAAAACATGATTTGAAAAATATATATCAAAACATTGATTTTTGAAGCCTATATTATTTATTTACCAAGAGGGATTTTGTAACCCTTCTCTTCAGCTTAAAAATGCTCCCAGATAGGCTTACACCTCAAATAATGACAACACTCATAACAACCCATGCCCTTAGGCTTGCAGTCTGAAAAGACGTTGCACAAAAGGAAAATGGATTGGAAGAGGAAACAAGAAAAGTCAGGTTCGTGCTCTCTGGTGGCATTTGGGCAGGGATGGGAGTGGTTTCAGTAGCTGGAACCAATAAAAGAATCCTTGCCATCAATGATCACCAGAATGTCTCCAACACAAGTTCCTTTGCCTTCCTGCGTGGTGCACAGTTTGGAACACTTCCCAAAGCACCGTGGAACAATTTATTGAACAGGCAGCACAAGGACCATCTCGTTGTCTTAAGGCAATATTGGGTCTGAACAATGTTTGAAATGGTGGCAGTCTTGCTTTGAGGGACAGGAGGAGATGCACTTTGGACCGGTCTGACTCACCCAGAGATGGAGGTGGGATCTACAAGCATTAGAATAAAGCTGCAGGATTGAGTTTGCGGACACCCAATGCAGTTTAACTGGCAGATCAGACACAGACCCTATTAAATATATGCAGTGCTTTTTTTCTTTTAAAAAAATGTTTAGTGGTACTCTCATTTTCCTACTCATGTTGAAATACAGCCCCTCAATGAGGCCAAACTTAGATTGACAAAATGTTTAGGGGTATGCGTCCCCCTGCATGTCCCCCCCCATGAAGAAAAGCACTGAATATATGACAGGCTACATTACGGACCAAGTAATGGCCATTGAATCCCTCTTAATATTTGCCTTTTTGATTCTGCAGCGAAGGGGACTCACCCCACCTTCCTGATCTTACAAAGAAATAAGCTTCCTAGCACTCAAGACCCTTTCTTTGCCGTTTGCAAAAAGACAGTGAAATGGAAAAATGTGCCTCTAATTATTACCCCTTTGTGCTTAAAAACCCTCTGTCTAAACTTTTAAGTCTACTTAAGTTTCAGGTTCTCTGTCTCTCCTTAAAAAAAAAAAAAATCTCATCTAAAAAAAAAGCTATAAAAAGCCTCCGACACTATAAATCCCCTTGTAAACCTGAGTTTTATAGGGTAAATTGCCTCTCTTTATTGCTTGGCAGGCTTTGTTCCTTCAGCATTTTTAGAGGGTGCTTCCATTACTTTTAGCATCAAGAAGAAGAGACAGGGCTGGAAGGGAAGGGGCAGTTTGTCAGAAAGCCCTCTCCTGCCATCAGGAACTTGGAGAAACCTCACTCTGCAGTTCATTGAGTAATGACACTACCAGCCAAGTGAGGCTGAGATAATAAAGACTCTATGATACTCTTCCTAGTATACAGTGGTGGGAGGAAGACTATGCTCTATGGGCCAAAGAGATCTTGTCTAGCAGGCAGGGCTGGCCCTAACATTAGGCAGAACGTGACAACCCAAGAAGCTGCCTTATGCCAAATCAGGCTGTTGGTCCATCTAGCTGATTCTTGTCCACTGGCAATGGCTTTCCAGGGTTTCAGGTGGCGGATATTCCCCGATCTACCTTGATATGCTGAGGGTTCAAATTGAGACATTCTGCACGCAAAGCAGATGCTCTACCACTGAGCTATGACCCTTCTCCTAAGGTCGAGCGAGACAACTACTTCCCTTAAGATGTTGGAAGCTGCTGTACCCCATGCCATGCTATTGGTCCATCTGGGTCAGCATTGTCTATGGTGACTGGCAGTTGGCTCTCTAGGATTCCAAACAAGGAGTCTCTCCCAACCTGGAGGCATACCTGTGTGAACCCAACCTGCGTGAAGTACCATCCATGGTGCTGAACCCAGAAAGTGAACAGATGCTGAGAAAGGGGACAGTCAGAGGGGCTCCTTAGAGCAGATGCTGGTGACTTCCTAGGTAAACCCCTCAAAGTGCTCTGAAGAGCAGGGTTCATTCTGCCTTGCCTTTGTCAACTTACAGTTGCCTTGGTGGTGGTGGTGGTGTGTGTGTGTGTGTCCCTAACATTGGTCGCCCATATTCATCTTGTCATTGGCCAAAGACCTCAGGCATCTTTCCTCCTCTGTCATTTCCAGCAAATCAACTCTCTGCAGCTAAACCAAAGTAGTTATTCTTAGTCCACGAGGGCACGACCTTAGACGCTGCACTATCAGATTTCATCACATTTACAATGCCGTGCTTCATGCCATCAACCAGCTTGTCCTGTTCTTGTTTGTTTCTTCCGTTTTCCTCCTCTCCTTCACACTCGTCACAGAGATATCTTAAATATAGGGCCTATTCATGTGACCCTATCAAGTCATGTTAAAGGCTGAAATGACTGACTGCTTGTTTCATAAGAACACAAGAAGAGTCTTCCTGCTGGATCAGGCCAATGGCCCGTCTAACCAGGCATCCTGTTCTCACAGTGGCCAACCATTTGCCCATGGGAAGCCCGCAAGCATGATCTGAGTGCAATAGCAGCTCTCTCTTCACATGTGATTCTCAGCACGTGCTGTTCAGATGTTGTGGAACTACAACTCCTATCATCCTCAGCCATTGGCCATGCTGGCTGACGCTGCTTATATAAGAACAGCCCTATTGGATCAGGCCAAAGGCCCATCTAGTCCAGCACCCTGTTTTCACAGTAGCCAACCAGATGCCTTCTGGGAAGCCCGCAAGCTGGACCTGAGCACAAGAGCTTCTCTCCTCCTGTGGTTTCCAGCAACTGGTATTCAGAAACATTGCTGTCTCTGACTGTGAACAAGTTTCCCACTTGTTTCTGCCACAGCCTAAGGCTTGTAAAACGGATCAGGTGTTTAGCCCCTTTTGGAAATGGCCCAAGGCAGGTGGAGGAAAGTATAGGTACCCAGGACTGTCCCCAATCCAAGTCCATCTTAAATTCTCACAGACCCCTGATCCAGCAAGTAGACTCACCTGATACCTTCATTACATATCTTTAGATGCCAGGCAAAAACATTCCTCTTCTCCCAGGGTTTTGGCGAATTAATTTGGGGTATTGTTTTTTATTTGTTATTATGCTATATATTTTTGTGGTTTTTATATGGTAAACTGCCCTGTGATCTTTAGATGAGGGGCAGTATAGAAATTTAATAAATAAAAAACTAATAGGTCTGCGAAGGTTGGTTCCCACCAACCTCAGTCTGCCCTTATCACAGCCCTCACTTGCCTGCCTTCTTACTTACAACCAGTCCACGAGGTGGTGACCCTGGCTGTCAACTTCCTCCTCCTCCATTTCAGCGTTCCCCTTGTGGAACTCAACTTCCATCCCACAGGTCCCAACAGGCACCAGCCGCCACTACTGCAAGTCTATTTCAGCTCTTTGCTGGTGTTCCCCAGAACTGATTCCCTCCTGCACCCAACTGCAGAATACTTTGGTTCCAGCTCCCGTTATCACTGATGAAGCCTCATCCTTTTGACATTGTTTAGATCCTCTGTTGCCTTTCCTTGGTCTTCCTCACCATCTTTTATTTTGAGAAGATCAAGCTGCCTGTGTGTTATTTAAAAGCCCCTGTGAGATTCCCCTCTCTGACACTCTCCTGCCCTCTCTCCCCTTGCCCACCCCTGTAAATATTTTAGTACTTGTTGAAATCAATTGAGCCTCATCAATAGGAAATAGAGTGTAAATCATTGGCCCTTTGTATTCACCCCAGAAATCAATTTTCACACATTAGAGCTATTAGCTTATTGAGAGGGACTTGATGGACGACCGGGCGTGGAAGATGTTGATGGAGGATCCACACCTTATGGGCTCCACCTATCAGCTGAGCCCAGATGGCGAGACAAATGGAGGGGAGAGAAATGAGAAAGCAGAGAGGGAAGAAGAGGGTGGGGAAGCTGGAGATATAGGGATGGAGAGAGAGAGAGAGAGAGAGAGAGAGAGAGCGCTCAGACAGAATCCTGCCAGCTGATCAATACTATCTACAAAGCATTAACTCATTCTGGATGGGATTGGAGATGGCAGGGGGCTCAAAGCAAAAGTTGTTGTTGAGCAAGTGATTTCCCTCCCTGCTCTGCAACTAACATAATTTAAGGGTGGTAGGCAACAGAACTTCTAATGTTTAATAAAACTAATGCAGTCTTTTGAAGGAAAGCACTGGAATGAGCAGAGTCCTCTATGTGGTTCTTTGGGAAGAACCTTAGCTCAGTGGGAGATGCCCTTGGCTAAAACACTGGAGAGCCACTGCTAGCCGGTATAGGCAATACTGAGTTAGATGGAACCATTGTCTGACTTAGTATAAGTCACCTCCCCATATTCTACCTCTGTGGTTGGAGGCAGTGTGCCTCTGAATACCAACTGCTGGAAACTGCAGGAAGGGAGAGTGCCGTCATGCTAATGTCCAGTTTTAAAGTTCCCCAAAGGCATCTGGTTGACCACTGTGAGAACAAGATTCTGGAGTAGAAGAGCCAGCTAACAGAAGAGCTGATGTAAGAGAAAATGAAGAGAAATATCAGGAACTACAACTATCTCCATACAATTTGAATGGCTTTAAAAGAGGACTAGACAGGGTCATGGAGGGTAAGGCTATCAATGGCTAGTAACCCTGATGGCTATGCTCTGCCTCAACCATCAGAGGCAGTATACCTCTGGATGCCAGTTGTTGGGAATCCCAAGTGGAGCAAGTTCTGTTGCACTTGGGTCCTACCCGTGGGCTTCCCACTGGGCACTGGTTGGTCAACCCACTGCTTGACCATTGTGAGGACCAGATTTTGGATTAGATGGGCCTTTAGCCAGATCCATCAGGGTTCTTCTTATGTTCTTACAATGGAAGACTCCCAGGTCCTGGGACTCTGGGTCTATCAACCTCCTGCATTCAAAAACCATCATGGGCCCCACATTCACTGCTTCCAAAAAAACCCCCTAATCTCTGGTGCTATTAAAAAGTTGCATATGATTGAGCTGTAACAAGGAAACTGTTACAACCAAGGGTCTTCCAACCAAGTCCTACTTTTGGGTTTCCAACAGCCATCTGTTTGGCCATTTTGAGACTAGGATGCTGGATTAGATGGGCTTTCAGCCTGACCCAGCAGGACTCTTCTAATGATATTGTGGGGGTTTTGTTTTTTGTGCAGTTGAGGCAAGGGAGGCTGAAGTATGCACACCAATTTGCCATAATGAGCCAAACCATTGGGCATCCAATCTCACCCAAAGCCTGTCAGTTTCCCTTGAAACGTAGCCAACAGCCTATCACCATCTAGTCCTGCAATCCCAAACACAGCATAGTATTTCTCTGCCAGCCAGAGATATCACTGTGACCTACATCACGCATCTTGTTGCACGGAGTCAACATTGCCTCGTACCGGTGGCAAAATGCAGGAGCGGCTCCGCCTGACCGCGGAGAAGAAGAGGAACAGGACGGGAGCAGCAGTGGCCACAATCAACACTCTTGTATGATAAAGCAGAGCTAATGGAGAGGCCTGAGGTGGAGTGGGACGTGGCAACCGTCCCAATGATGTTTCAAGTGGATGGAAATCAGCCTCTCGCAGAGGTTCAAGACAAGGTCTGTGCACCACTTACATCCCACTTGAGGCCTATTTTAAGATCTTAAGTGGCACTGGAGTGGCAGAACATGGGACCTCGTCCTGACCCCTGGCACGGAGCTGAGAGTCTCACCTTATCTGCATCTGGCAGCTGCTCAGAATCACAGAAGAAAGCTGATTGAGATAGTCTGGCTGAGATGGAAAGCAACTGGGCCCCAAGGTGGCCAAAGAGAGGCAGTCTGCTGTGGCCATCGAGAGCTACGAAGAGCCACCAATCAGGACAGGCCTAAGTAGCGGTCAGCACCTTTGTGTGCCTTCTGGGACCCACACTCTACTGTCTGGGCTCCTCGGCTCTCTCTGGTGTCCTGCTGCACAGGAACATAGGGAGCTGCCTTATAGGAACATAGGAAGAGCCAGTGTGATGTGGTGGTGTCAGGATGCTGTCAGCGGCTCCCAACTGGTTGCCCAGGAGAGAATAAAGACAAGGAAAAGTTTCTTACCGTCCTTTTTTATTTCAGTCTTTACAGAGAGAGGCTATAGAACCAAGCCTCAAGGATAATGGCCTTGTCCCGAGTCAATCTCCACCCCCGCCTCTCTCACTTACTCATTCGTCACCTCTATGGGTGCTGCAACATGCCCTCTGTCTTTCAGCTGTTTGCTCTCCTACTTTTAAGGCTCACCCGGTTCTGGGAGATGGAGGGTCTGGAATGCTTTCTAAGGACAACGTGTCAGCTGGTTGTTGTTCCGGCTGTGCCATGATTTCCCAGCTTCCCCCCTCATCTGCCTCTGAGCTGCTACCTCCCTCAAACCCCTGTTGTAAATCTATACTGTCTTCCTTTTCCTCCTCTCTGGAAGAATCAGGATGGGGAGACGGTCTCCACCATTCCTCCTCTGCCCAGTCCTTGACAGGTGGTTAGGGTGCCAGACCCAGGAGACCAGAGTTCAAATCCCCACTTAGCCACGAGGCATATACCAAGTCAGACCACTGGTTCATCCAGCTCCATATTGCCAGCTCCATATTGCCAACTCCAACAGACTGTCAGAGGTTTCAGGCAAGGGACATTCCCTGATCTACCTGGAGATGCCTGGGATTGAACCTGGGTCCTTCTGTGTGCAATGCATGTGCTTTACCAATGAGCTTCATCCCTTGAACAACAGCAAACCTCACAGCAATCTGCACCCTGTTCCTTTGGGACCCAGTGATGCTTTGAAGCAAGAGGCATAGATGATGCTCTGTATGGGGCTGAATTGCTCTTGGGTAAGAGCCAGGCACTCGGCTGATATGCCTAGACAGAGCTCGTGACTAGTGTTTGACACTAGTATGCAACTTGTGTCAGGGCCGGAAAGTTAAAATGGGCAGATTGGTTGGGAGCGAGTGTAAAAATGTAAATCAGGACAGATACACACTGCAGAGATTAGCCAACTCGATGAGGCCTGATTAATATCGTTTCATGCTCCCTCACTTCCGTGTGAGGTAAGGAAAACTACAAGCAGCCTTTTGCACGCTTGGTTCCCTTCTGGGCTGCAGACTCGCTGCGCTTTTGTCATATCAGTTTATCCTGCGTGAATATGAGTTGAGTATAAGGGGAGCAGGGGAGCACCCATACAATTCCATGCTCCAGAGATGGGTGCCATTCCATTTTGCAAACCACCAGAAGATTCTGGGACTCCTTTCCCACCCAATCTAGCTACCCATCTTTACAAAAACCCACACTCCTCTCACCCACACCATTCACCATCTCCAGGGGTGGCACATCCCATTTCACTGCTTGAGGTGAAACAGGAAGTACTGCCCTGTCTCTGCACTGCCCACTCCAACGGTGGCATTGGCAGTATTGGCACTGATTTCAGGTGAGATTTTGTGCACTCCGCAAGGTCTCCGATTTCAGTAAGCTCTTGTGTGATTTTGGTGAGATCTTGCCTGAAACCAGTGCCAATGCTGACACCACTGGTGGTGGAGGTGACAGGGCAGCCAGGGCACCCAGGAGCTTCTGCCACCTGTGGTGGAGGCATCATTCCACCTGATGACTGTGCCGGCCTTGACCATCTCACACTCACCTTCTCATCAGATCTCTGGTAATTTCACCTTCAGATCTCATTGTCATGTACTCATCTCACTCACATGGCTCATCGTGATGGCTAGGTTCTGCCTCCACAGCTGGAGGCGGCAATGCTTCTGAATACCAGTTGCTGGAAACCACAGGAGGAGAGAGGGCTCTTGTGCTCAGGTCCTGCTTGCAGGTTTCCCCCAGGTATTTGGTTGGCCACAGTGAGAACAGGACGCTGGACTCAATGGGCCATTGGCCTAATTAGCAGGCTCTTACTGTGTACCTGCAAGCAGGGGGTTGGACTAGATTATCCTTTGGATTCCTTCCGCTCTGTGTTTCTTACTCACCCTTTACTGAATTTTGCAACACGGTTCTTCTACCAAGTACCTTGTTCAAAAATGCACACACTGGGGCACAGTGTACATAAAAATCCACATAGCAATGAAAATAACATGCACAAAGGAATTACATTAGAGGAAAGTGCTTTGCAAAAGAATGTGCGCACTAGGCAAAAATTGGAGAGAAGGAATGTGGGGAAACATCATCCCTAGTAGGCACATCTAAAGTTTCTGGTACTTGGCCTAGAGGGTGCCCAGAGAATTATACAGAGGTTCCCTCCCAGGTACGCTGTTGTCAAAACACCTTTTGTATCATCAAGCTTGCCATCTCCCTGTGTCGCTCGCGGCTGTGGATTACCACACCTGTGATGGGCGGGCTGCGGTTGTACTGTCCAGGCAAGGAGCTGGATTACTCCTCTGACAGCCTCGGAGATATGACTCTTAGCTAATTACTTTGATCCTTTACACTATGTAAAAAAAAAACACACACACTTTACAACAGAAAGTGCTCACCCTTGGCTTCAACCTTGTGACCCAGCCAGACCTTGTAAAAAGGGAAAAGAGAGACACAAGAGTCAAGCCTGGCATGCATGCAGACCTAATCCTTGCAAACTGCTGAACACTCGCTCCTTCATTCACTTCCTTCCAAGACTCCCGCAAACAGGTTGATGGAATTACATTTATAAGACGCTGAGACGGCCTAGGGCTGAGGTAGCTGAGGTGGTTTCCTCCAGATGTTGGAAAACTACAGCTCCCAATCAGACCCCAAACAACATGACCAATGTTCAAGGACAATGTGAGTTCCCAGGGGCACCAACTTCTGGGAGCTGAACTCTTTTGGGGCCCCTAGATATTTGTTATTGGGGGGGTGACCCACCCCCAATGTTCAAAAAACCATTGTGCCATGTCGAAGGAGCTAGGAACATGGAGATAGCTTCAGTGAACGGTCCAATGTAAATCTACCACTAATGTATTATTAGTCAGTGACATGTTGCAAAAAGACACCAGTCTGGAGAGGCTCCCAAAAAATAATTAGTTGTCTGGATAATAAAGATCTATTTGTGTTGATATAGGTCAAGGTAAAGGACCCCTGGACAGTTAAGTCTAGTCAAAGGCAACTATGGGGTTGTGGCACTCATCTCACTTTCAGGCCGAGGGAGCCGGCGTTTGTCCACAGACCGCTTTCCTGGTCATGTGGCCAGCAGGACTAAACTGCTTCTGGCACAACAGAACACCATGATGGAAACCAGAGTGCACGGAAACGCCGTTTACCTTCCCTCCAGAGCGGTACCTATTTATCTACTTGCACTGGTGTGCTTTTGAACTGCTAGGTTGGCAGGAGCCATGACAGAGCAATGAGAGCTCACTCCATTGAAGGGATTCAAACCGCTGACCTTCTTATCAGCAAGCCCAAGAGGCTCAGTATAAAATGCACTGTTAGCAATGTGTTGAACAGGATGGCATGTTTCGAAATGACTCTGCTCTCTGAGTGGTTTCTGGCCACATTTGCTAAGGGTGCATTCAGATGTGAGGAATATTGTGTTAGTTTTCCAGATTATAATGCTGGTGCTCCTGTCCCATTTTCTAATTCTCCTTTCACACTGCAGTACCTGTTGAGTTATGGAAGTGGGGCATTTCAACCACTGTGCTAGCACGTCCTGTTAAATTTTATTTACACGAGTGAGCATGGTGTGGCCCAACAAGGCACTGGACAATTTTGCTACACCCCCACCTTTTCCACACATGCCTACTTCTGTTCCCCCATGATATAAAAATTCCATCACTTTGCTCCTAAAAAATTCCAGGTTAAGGGGGCTGCAGATGGATATTTTTTCTGGAATCAACACAGAAATGAGCACTAGACGTGTGTTATGTTCCATTAAAAAGTGACTTTTACATTGTGTGAAAGCCTGAATATAATGCAGCTATTAGCAGCTAGGAAAACATCAGTGAAATGGAATGAACTGCCATGTGGAGGCAGCCAAAGTTGCAGCTCTGTGCAATGTTCTTGGAAATGCTTCCCAGCACCACTGCAGGTGTTAATGCAGTCATCTCAGCAGAACTGAGTAAATTGTCACTCATCTGCTATGGCAGAAGGTGTGCCTGTTTAGCATACCTAAACTTAAACTATCATTTACTGTAATGTCCCCCTCTTTTTGCCTTTCAAGTTGCTCTTTACAATTTTCTCCTTTGTACACCTGTCAACTGTGATTTCACTTTGTGCATGTAATAAAGTCTACAGAAGTTCATGCTGCAGTAAGGGTGCTAGTCTTAAAGGTGCTGCAGGACTCTTTGCTGCAAGAGACTAATATGGTTGCACCTGAAAATTCATTAAAAAAATGAATGAACACATGAGTGGGTTGAAGCCGATCTGGGTATAGGGTGTGAATGAGGGAGAAATCCAAATTTAGTTCAGATTTCAAGTCAAAATTTTCAAATTCACACATAGTTAAAACTATGGACCTTGCTCCCACAGGAGGCAGTGATGGCCACCAACCTAGGTGGCTTTAAAAGAAGATTAGAGAAATTCATGGAGAAGAAGTCTATCAAAGGCTACTAGCCATGATGGCTATGCTCTGCCTCCACAGTTGAATGCCAGTTTCTGGAAGCCACAGGAGAAGAGGGGAGAGTGCTCCTGTGCTCAGGTCCTGTGTGATGGCCTGGGATTTGGACTCAGAGGCTGAACC